AAAGAACTCGCCGAGGGGTGGCCGAAGCCGAAAAAAGTAAGTAACTTGTATTTGATTGATTGTAGACAAGGCCCGATCTTTCGATAGGTATGATAGCGTCGATTGGTGGAGACTCGACGTTCACAATCTAAGCTTTGAACCAAGACTGATTTGGACCCCTGCAACCGTTACACCACTGCTCCGTTGGTTATCAACCACGCGAACGCGATTGACCTCCCTGAGAAAGCTTTCCTACAAGCGAATCGAGAACACAAGCAAGAACGGGATGAACGCAATCTAAAATTGCAAATAAGTATGAGGCTTATGATAATGAAAAGGAGTTCAAGTCTTTGTTCGAAAGGACTAATCGCCATAGGCGAACAAGATCAAGAACAGGGGCCCTGGTTCACAGCAAGCAGCCTTGGCGGCACAGTTATAGCAAAACGATGTCTGTTTCACGAGGAAATCAAGAACTAAACAAAACCCCCCATAGATGCACCCCTAACGGGCCCAAACACGATACACGGTCCAACGGACCAAAAGACGGTGTCGCAACACCTTGGCAGATTCTGGACGCTGAATTGTTTCAACGATTCCCGTTGATTCCGAAGAGCTTTTGACGTGAGACCACTTGCATTGGATTCCTTATCTAATTAGCTTTCCATCCATATGTGGATCGTCGAAAACGGAGCCCGAACGCTCCCGTGTGACCAGTTTTATAATAGACTGGCCCTGAAACCCGAGATGGGCTCCAACTTCAGTTGGACTGGGCCTCCACCATAAGAAAGATGAATTGGACGCCCATGCTGGACCTCCTCCTCTCCTTGGCTTGTATGTGATGAAGTAGTGATGTCCTCATCACTCACTTGTTTAATTGTAGTGGCAAGAAGAGAAAGGAATGAGAGCTGACTCACACAAAGATGACAACTTCTTGGAGCTTATCGGCGACCTTTGTGCCTTCATATTGGACCAGATTATACACGTAAGAGGCAATTATCATGACCAAAAATCCGAGTTATGAAGGCATCCTCAGTACCAACATCTTCTTGAGATGGAAAGACTAGCTCAAGGCCATTGATAACAATGTATATGGAATGTGATATTGGTCTTACCTTATGGAACGGTTTGGAATTGTGGAACGGATTGGACATGTGAATTATGTCTATGTAACGATGAATTATATATGTTCTTGTGAATTGGACTTGTAATGTTTATATAATATTCTTGTGCTTGTGGATACAATGTTTGAATTATATATGCGTATACATGTTCTGATCAGATTTGAATTTTGGAATTTGAAATTTTTTGGCGAAAAAATGCACTGCAGGGGCGGTTCAATTTGAATTTTTTTGCGGAAAAATATACTGTAGGGGCGGCTATAAATGAAAATTATAGGGGTGGTTGAGCCGCCCATAAAAATTATTTTTGTAGAGGCGACTAGTAACACCAGCCGCCCCTACAAATACATTTTTTGGGGCGGCTAGTGCCACCAGCCGCGTCTACAAATCGATTTGTAGTGGCGGCTTGAGAACCACCCCTACAAACCCTTGATTTGTAGAGACGGTATGGTAGGGGCGGCTGGCAAAACCGTCTCTACAAACCATCGCTAGCCGTCCCTACAAATGCTTATTGTAATAGTGAAAGTTTACTTGATTAGAAGTTTAGAAAACACACGCAACGGTTTGATTATATCAACAACCACACAGCGATACACTCAATTATAATCAAGAATACAAATATATATATATACACACACAACCCTGTAGCTGGCTACAAAATAACTTATTTTATAGCCACTTTAAGTTATGATAATTACTATGTTAATTTACGAGATTATAGTAACTCCTTACTAAGTGGTTTACTATAATATTACGATAAATATCCCCATATGTTATAGTAACCCGACTATCGTAATTATGTATTGACATTATCATAAATTAGTATATAAAATTATCGTAAATGGAGGTGGCTACAGAATAAGTTATTTTGTAGCCAGCTATATATATATATATATAGTATCATCTTGAATTATAGTAACTCATGTATCGTAAATGGATATTGCCATTATCGTAAATTGGTACAAACATTATCGTAAATCAAGGTGGCCATAGAATAAGTTATTCTGTGGCCAGCTGTAGAATATATATATATATATAGTATATTCAGTAGCCAGCTAGAAAAAGATTTTCTTAAGCCACTTTGAGTTACGATAATTACTATGTTAATTTATGAGATTATAGTAACTCCATATTAAGTGGTTTATTATAACGTTATGGTAAATAACTTCATGTGTTATAGCAACCCAACTATCGTAAATATGTATTGACATTATCGTAAATTAGTATATAAAATTATCTTAAATGGAGGTGGCTACGAAATAACTTATTTTGTAGCTGGCTACTGAATATACTCTCCCTATATATATATATATATATATATATATATATATATTACCCTGTAGCTGGCTACAAAATAACTTATTCTGTAGCCACTTTGAGTTACGATAATTACTATGTTAATTTATGAGATTATAGTAACTCCTTGCTAAGTGGTTTACTATAACTTTATGGTAAATATCCTTAGTAACCCAACTATCGTAAATATATATTGACATTATCGTGAATTAGTATATAAAATTATCGTAAATGGAGATGGCTACAGAATAACTTATTTTATAGCTGGCTACTGAATATTCTCTCTCTCTATATATATATACATATATATATATATATATATATATATATATATATATATATACTATTCTGCAGCTGGCCATAGAATAACTTATTCCGTGGCCACTTTGAGTTACGATAATTACTATGTTAATTTATCAGATTATAGTAACTCCTTACTAAGTGATTTACTATAACATTATGGTAAATATCATCGTGAGTTATAGTAACACGAGTATCATCGTAAATTGGTATAAACATTATGGTAAATCAAGGTGGCTATAGAATAAGTTATTTTATAGCTAGATGCAGAATAGCCTTACCCTATATATATATATATATATATATATATATGCTGCTACAAAATAAATTATTCTGTAGCCACTTTGAGTTACGATAATTACTATGTTAATTTATGAGATTATAATAACTCCTTACTAAGTGGTTTACTATAACCTTATGGTAAATATCCTCATGTATTATAGTAACCCAACTATCGTAAATATGTATTGACATTATCGTAAATTAGTATATAAAATTATCGTAAATGGAGATGTGACTACAGAATAACTTATTTTATAGCTGGCTACTGAATATACTCTCCATATATATATATATATATATATATATATATATATATATATATATATATATATATATATATATATATATATGTCACCCATCCACACAGAGGTGGTGGTTCTATGGTACCATAACAGTATGCGCTATATAAATTTTTTCTGTTTGTTGATTTATTCCTACAGGTGATTTTTCGGTCCTTGATTGGGATATGAGATATGAGATAATTAGGTGACTTTGCAGAGGTTTGCATTATCTTCATGTTTAATGTCATATTGTTCACCTGGACCTTAAACCCCAAAACATACTGATGGATGCCACGATGTTGCCCAAAATAGCGGATTTTGGTTTGTCAAGGCTTTTGGGTGAACAAAAATCAAGAACTTTCACTTCAAACTTAGCTGGAACGCTGTAAGCTATGCCTCTTGCTAGAGCTGCAGTTTTTTACTACTCTATTTTCTACAGCTGATTATGCAAAATCTTCTGCAGTGGATATATGGCACAAGAATACATAGACCAGGGAATTATCTCCTCTAAAGCAGATATATTCAGTTTGGGTGTCATAATCATAGAGATAATCACAGGTCGCTGGGACTATCCCAATATCAGCGAGAGAACTGAAACATCTCTCAGGCACTATACACATCAAGTAAGATTATTCAGTATTATTCCATACTGTAATTTTCTACCTTACTTATGGAAATGTCCTTTTATGATAAATTACTTATGCAAATGTTTAGGTGGTTGGAAGTTGGAGGAACAGACTTATATAGAGATAACACCCATGCATATGTCACTGGAAATGTGTATCCAACAAGTGCAACAATGCATCTCTATAGCTCTGAAGTGCCTGGAACCTGAGTGGAATAAAAGGCCTACTTCATTCACTGGACATAGTTCAAAGTCTAAATGCAGTAGAACCAAAATTTACGTCTCCTGGAAATCCCCCCAGTGTCATTGAGAAGGTATGATCTCTCAATATGCACCGCGCCTATCCACACCTAATTTCATAAGGCTGTCCAAATTAATATGCATGTCCGAACAAAATAACCACTCATGCTCCATTTTTCTGATCTTAATTAGTGTCCTCTTGTAGTTGTAGTGCATTATCTATATCTGTTGTTCGAAACTAGCCTGCACAGCGACAAGTTATTCACTAATCTCCATACCGAGATGGACATGCAAGATCGATCACATATGACACCAACGGCTTGATATTTGTTGACGAGGTTCAGTCAAGGGCCCCCGAGTGTCGATTGGCACCCTCCGTCTTGGGATTCCAGTTGGCTGGAGCGCCGCTAAGTCACGAGTGTTGTAAGCCAATTAGCTTGGCTTAACCTGTCTTTGAGTGCTGATAATAGGGTAGGTGAGGATATCTGGGGTTTATGCACTCGTCGATCATATTATTTTTCTATGACAAAAAAATGTGACATATTTGACGTCTTAACTGCAATATCTTATTTGTACCCTTTACTAACATTGAAAATCTGACCACAATATATACTTCTCTAATGCTCAATACATCCACTGTTTGTCCAGGATAGGAGAAACCGAAATCTTTAGAGTCAAGTAAATGTGAACATAATCGAGATACCAAAGACCATCGGTGCCGTTAACGGCCTAAATGAGTGCGCCAATTTGTTCCAGTGGGTTACATCGGCCATTTCATCTCCAAAACCTCAGCTGAATGAAACACAAAAGGAAAAACTTCATGGAGATGTAAGGTAGTTGCAGGGTGACCTTCAATGCCTTAGTGATACTCTACCAGCAATGTACAACCTCATTGATCAAGCAGAGTGGAGGATCCATGATCATTATGTGGCTGAGCTCCTTTCAAGACTCAAAGATGCAGTGTATGATGCAGAAGACATTCTAGATGAGTTCAGATGCTACGAGACAAAGCTTTCAGTAGAGGGCAATGCAATCTCAGTGGAACCAGTCATTGACTTCTTTCACAGTGTTACTCAAGGCAGCTTCAATAAGGTGACTGATATCCAGAAGAGGCTCAATCATCTTTCTGGACAGCTCGAGAAAATGGGCTTACTTCAAGCAGTTCCATGGTTTGACAAATCACTTAGGCCTGAGACCACCTCTTTCCCCACTGAGGCAAAGATTTTTGGCCGTGATGAGGAAAAGGATAAGCTAATCAGGTTGCTTGGTGTACCAACAAATAATACCGCGGGTCCTTCTGGACACAAGAGAAAAAGAAGTGGAGTTTGTTCATCAGCAAGCAACCAAATTTGTGCTACCATTGATACTAATGAAGCAACAGTAACGAGTGTTCTAGTTTTGCCAATTGTTGGAATTGGGGGTGTTGGAAAAAACACCTTGGCTCAAGATATTTGCAACCATTCAAAAGTGAAACGGCACTTTCACCTAATAATTTGGATTTGTGTGTCAGATGATTTTGATGCCAAGAGATTAACTAAAGAAGCCATAGAACAATCTTCTGGGGAAGTGCCAAAAAATAATAATCTGAATTTTCTTCAGGGTGCTCTTGTAAATAGCCTGAACACTAGAAGATTCCTAATTGTCCTTGATGACATGTGGGATGAAAATGAGATGGATTGGAAGCGCTTCTGCGCACCTTTTAGAAATGTACTTAAGCGAAGCATGATGCTTGTCACCACTAGGTCTCCGAAGGTTGCTGATATAGTGCGTACAATGGATCCCTTTCCTTTAGAGGGTTTGAATGAAGATGTCTTTTGGGAATTCTTTAAACTCTGTGTGTTTGGATCTGATACCTCCAACAATTATCTTGAGTTGGAACCGATTGGTGAAAAAATACTCCCAAAGTTGAAAGGATCTCCTTTGGCTGCAAAAACCCTTGGACGGCTGTTAGGGATGAGCCTTGACCTAGCACATTGGGATAGGATTCTCAAGAGTCAGCTGTGGGAGCTTAGACAAGAGGAGACTGACATTTTGCCGGCTCTTTGGTTGAGCTACATGTATTTACCATTCTATTTAAAGAGGTGCTTCTCGTTTTGTGCTGTGTACCCAAAATATTACAATTTCAGAAAGAAAGAAAGATTTAGCTGAAATTTGGGTGGCAGAAGGCTTAGTAGAACATCAATACACTGGTGATCAGTACTTTGAAGAACTTGCACATCTGTCATTTTTTCAGAAATATCCACGATCCCACGAGAAATATGTAATCCATGATTTGATGCATAACATGGCACAACTGGTTTCAAAGGACGAGTGTTTCATAGTAAAAGACACTAAGGATCTTACGAAGATCCCTCAGAATGTCCGCCATCTGTTGGTGCTCAAGGGCGGAGATGTTCAGTGTTCTGACTTATTGAAGCATGACATGGCACAGCATAGAAAGCTGCGCACCCTACTTTGGGGCCTGTCTTTGAAGAGTAAAACTGGTAATACTGTGATGGAGAAATGGTGTACTGAACTTTTGTGCATGCGTGTTATGGTCTGTTCCTCTATCTCTAAGTGGGGGTTGCCAGATAGTATTAGCAATATGAAGCACCTTCAGTACCTTAAAATCCTGGACTCTTGCCTTTGCAAGAAACTTCCTGCATCATTCTGTCGCCTGTACAATATGCAGAAGTTTTATGCTGAGAAATGGGAGATTGATGACATTCCTAGCAGCATTGGTATCCTGATCAATCTGCAGAAATCTGAATTAGTGAAATGTCATTTTGATCGTATACATTCATTTGGTATTCTTAAAGGTGCAACTGACGAAGGACAGAGAGGGCAATTCAAGATCAAAAACTATAATGGTGAATCTCTTCCAAGCAGGTTTCATCCACAAAACTCACAGCAAATTCACAGTTATGACAGAACTAATAGCACTTTGTTGTCCCTGACTGCTGTAGAAATTACAGATTGCAGAAACTTATCAAACCTCGAACGATTTCTACATCCAGCTTATGTGCCTAATATCAAGAAAATAAAAAATTTCCAATTGCAGCAGCTTAGAATCGGTACCAACTGAGAGGTTCGGAGATTTGCGTTTCCTTGAAGTACTGAGTGTTTCCTGTTGTCCAAAGATCAAATCACTGTTAGTTGATCTCGATCTGCGCCCTAATCGGGGGCGCACATCCCTAATATGGTTGGTGGCCCCTGTCGCACAACATTATAAAAAGAGGTGGGGATCAGGGCTCTAACTACGAGGTTGACCTGAGCCGCCGTAACCACCTACAGAGAAACACTAATCCGATCTAAAAAAGGGTGCTGCCAGCAACAAGAAGCCCCACCGACTTCGCCATCGCCACTAGACCTCGCCACCACTACACTGGACTCCACTGCACCGAGCTGCCACGACACCGGTGTCCACGCGGCTGCGGCGCCATGGACCAAAAGATGACCTAGGGCGAGGTACAACAACAGTTTTCCCATCTAAGTAAGATGCTTACCCCTAATCTACGGTTCAGAGGTACATTGTTTCCAACAATGGTACCAGAGCTAGGTTAACAGTGTGTAGATCTAGTATGGGGTAGAGAATTGAAAAGAAATCGAAGAGGAACAGAGGGTTCGATACGGTTCGGATTGAAACCCTAACCCTAACCGGGTAAAAAAGAAATAGAAAAGAGACCGGGAGGGTGGCGGGCGTCACTGACTGCCGGTCACCACCGCCACCGCGCGGGGAAAGGTGCCGCTGCTGATGCAAAAGTGGATCTGCAAACACAAAGGGCTAATACCCGAATCGATATCCAAAGCGTGCCAGTCGATTTGACCTGTTAATCGACAAGGATGAAGATACTAGCACTTTGGTCCTGACAACAGCGATACGCCCGGAAGTCACGGCCAAGAGGTACTCACGCGGAACTCGAGAATCGCCGAAGGTCGCACTGAAGCGATGCAACTCGCCGAATCAATGAGAACTCGTAAAAAGAAAAAGAAATATGCAAATTGACGAAGTCGCCGAAAAGTAAGTAGATGCAAATAGGAGTAAAAATTGGTTTTGATATTGATTGATCTCTATTACATTGCCCCTTAATCTATATTTATACCCTGATCTAAAGAGACATAACCAAATACGACTAGGACACCAAGTCCATATCTAAGGAAACACGTGACTCTTACATGAATCATACTCTAACAAATATAGAAAAGGAAATCAACTCCTATCTATTTCCCTGTCCGCCTCAATTACGATGGAATTCTCACCGACCTCCTTTCCATCGACATACTTCCTGTTTCATCGGCAGTAGTTTTCAAGCCTTCCTTCATCGGCATCGACACTAACATCTCCAACCTTATCGGCAATGCCCGAGTCTAAATCAACCTTTCCATCGATCACCACCATTCATCGGCAACCATTTTTACAAGCTGATTTTCATCGGCTGTCAGCGTATACAGTAACTTTCCTCCTGCCGATTAGCCCACTCTGATCATTTTGACACGTGCAAAAAACGGTGTCAACACATGCCCCCCAATTTCGGAGTATAAAACCATTAATGCTCCAAAATTTACTCCAGATAACGTTTGTCTTCGCCCAATTACCGTAACTCATCCTCCAAGCCAAAACTTGATCTGTAATCAAATCTAATCAAATCTAGTCCTGATTCACGCACCTCAGTAAATATCGCACAATTTCCAACCACTCTTGCCCTGATTATGGTTAAGGTACCGAAACAATAATCCATCGGCAAGATCCTAACATAATAATGCCGCCATTTTCAGAATTAAAATATCCTGTACCGAGATCTCTTCCAAGTCATGATTACTTGCCATCAAATCATCTGTACAATCCCTTGATTATCGTGCGAACAGTTACCATATCCATCTGAACCACCTCGACCCACATGCGCGCGGCATAGAGATAAGTCCAGAATACCCCTACTCCAAGCGGCTTATAAATAGATTTCTCCGGAACGCTTGTCTTCTACCCTCAGACTCCAATCTTTGGCATTCTGTCTTTCCGGCGGCGACTCCGACAAACAACTGCGCGACCTCAACCAACAAGAACTTTTCTCCAGCGTCAACCTCAAATCTCCAGCTCGTGCCCCCATCTACCTCAAGATAATGGCAATCAACTTCGACGTCCCTGCGGTTCGTTCCACTTCCGTTACTTTTTACCTCGACTCCTCTGGTCTTTGCGAGTTCATACAGTTGGTAATTTTTCTCTTTTTCTTTGTTCTTCGGATGCTCTAAACTTAGGAACTTCGCAACAAATTAGTTATTCCAACCGATCAGCCGCATTTCCAATGCCTAGGACCAATGGGCAACCCAGATCCAACTGATCTGATTAATGCAGAGGTTAATGTAATCCCTTTTAGAGCCCAAAATTTCTCTCGAATTTATGGAAAGATACATTCCGATCTTGGCCCAAAACCACCAAAGGGTGGAAAGATTGGTACATGAGGGTCAACAGTCGATGCAAGTACATCGGGCGTAAACGGAAGCTAGACCAATGCATTAGGCTATCCATTGCCGATATGCAAAAGAACGAGTCAATGATGATTGCAGCTGCTTACTTCTGGTCAGACACAACAAACACTTTTATGTTTGGACAGGGCCCAGCTACTCCCACACTTGCCGATGTCTACATGCTCACTGGCTTGGACATTTCAACTGCCGATGAAGGCTCCATCTATGGCAGAAAATCCGAATATAGGGTGAATACCCATAATATCGGTGGTTGACGGGATATATTCAAGAATGCCAGAGGACCGGGACAGTTAACCAGAGGGAACATGCCACATTCTTGAATATGTGGTTAGAAAAATTTATCTTCTGTGGTCGATCAGTAGGACCAACCAACGCCTTCCTCCCCGCGGCTAAACTCTTGGCCAATGGTGTAAGGTTCCCTCTTGGCCGATACCTTCTGAGCTCCACTTATCATCTTCTTCATCAAGTGTCTCAGAAACTTTTGCTTGGCGAACCCATCGGCAACTTAGGAGGCCCGTGGTGGTTTATCAACATGTGGCTGAATGCCCATATGCACAAACGTTTGCAATGGGACTTCTTTGCCCAACAATTCCCAAGAGAAATTGCTGAAGACCACGTGCTTGGGGATGAGGAATCAGCAACATGCTCACCCCTCAATTTTGGTGAAGCCATAATTGTCCTCCCTGGAACAGAGGCCAATGAAGACCAGATCGGCAAATTCTTCCAAAGCTTCTACAATGGTCTTTCTCGTGATCATAGGGCCTGGGTACCTTATTTTGACGAAGAAAACAGATTCCCCCTTCTTTTCAACTTTGCCGATGACACTCTAAATCAGGATAATGAACTCATGATGGCCATCATTACTCCCAGGGCAATCCCAGTGAACACATTTGGTAGCGGGAAAAACACCAATATCGCGTATGAATTTTACAATCCATCGGCAGTATCCCGTTAATTGGCTTTTGGGCAACTGTCAATCAAACTTTGTTTTGCCGATGTGATCAAACCTAGAGAAACAATCACCTGCGGAACAGATTGGAGCAGGGTAGTACGACTCTCCCCCGATGCCGATACTACAGATGTCGATCTATCCATCTAGACACCAGCATCTTTCATCACCGAATCATATAAGCAATGGTGATGAGAGTGGAGGGAACAACTGTTTGCAACATCTGCTCACACATATCGGCACATGATCGACCCTGAATACGCCATTCCCGATGATGCAGTAAGTTTCTTTTAACTCCCTTCTGCTTTTTCCTTTCATATATCGGTAACTAACTTTCTCGTGACAGGTTAACAACCTAGCACCATCTATGAGCAAAAGTGGGAAACCCTTCGATCTTCGGCCTGTTTCCCCGATATCACCGATCGGCTACAACGCCCCCACCTTAGCTGCTTTGACTCACCAGAAGACCCGTGCCAAGACCATCACCTCCAAGTCCAAATTGGCACATTTAGGGCCACTCCATTGGTCGTTGCTACAACCCTCGATCAAGGCATTCAAGGTAACAACCCTGTTTATTTCTACTCATGCCGATCACAAACTGTATTAACATTAATCATCAGGGTGTAAGAGCCGCTGCTGGATCGTCATCGGCAATTCCTTCGACATCAAGCACCACTACCTCTGACAAACCCTCAGAGATATTCCTTTGATTTTACATTTTATCTGTTAAATATCATACCTTACACTTGTTTTGCAACAACAAATGGGTACATCGGCAAGCGTTCAGATGTTCAAGTTCCACAACCAACAAGTGCCGATGCCCCTGACCAACCGCTCTTTCGAGGCCCAAGCAAAGCGCAAAGCCTTAACAGATGCCGAGGCACAAACCAAAACGATGTAAGTCCATGCCGATCCCCACATCCGCCTCTAACGCCTCGCAAGCCGGCAGAATCGGTCGATGCAACCGAGCAAGCAATTAATCCTCTCAGACAGACATACCATCGGTCATCATACCCCAAGGGCCAACCACCGATGAGGCCACAGAGGATATCCCATCGGCAAGCTCAAAACCGATCCTCCACACGGCATACTCTAGGTCGCTTCCTCCAAACCAAGTATGTGAAATTGCCTTGAAACAGGTAAGCCAATTGACCTAGTCGATTTATAATATTCATACTTATCCTAACTGACCTCTTTTTCTTTTTCTCAGGAACAAGACTCCCCAAATAGCCTATTTTCCTTTGCCATTGACGTTTCTGACGATGATGGAGAGGAAACAAGTTCTTCCCTTGCACTGGGAACAATATCGGCAGAAATTAAGTCCAAGTTGAAGCTCTCTGGACTTGTTACAAGCAGGATACCGCCTAACCGGTAGATGACTCGGACCCCGCAAAGGCATTTTTCAAAACAATCCGTGGCTGTGTCCCCGCCGATGTTGAAGAAGCACACTTCCCAAGCAGAGCCCATTTAGAAAGCCGCTAACCGCAATATCAACGGGCTGCTCAACGCATTGCCGATAGAGCAGCTCAGCTCAACTCAAAGAAGAGATGCTACACTGAAACAGATTGCCGATGAGAAGCACAAGGGCATCGGCAACTTGCGATTTCAAGGCCGAACTTAAGCAGAAAATCTTAGATTTATCGGCAAAGAGG